GTGTATTGTTTCTTAGACTTTTTTAAAAAAGACAACAAAAGAGAACCAGTATAAAGACAAAATGGAAAAAATGGAGAAAATTTGCCTATGGTTACAGAAGATATGGCATATATTAGCAGACGAAGTCTTGCGCTTTTCTCTCAGCTTACCATTCCGTTTTCCCCTGGTAACCCCAAATAAAGATTAAGAAGTTAAAAACTAATTAATAAAATTAACAATGAAATGCTTTCTTCGCAAAATCTCCATAGGACCCTTTATTTAATAAAAACTCCTGGGTAACAGTTATTGCGTCGCCACCTCTACATATACACACATCTTTTTCCAAAAAAAAAAAAAAAAATTGTTCCAATTTGTTTTTTTTTCAAATGAAATTGGCGGAGGCGCTAAATTATATTTTAAATTAGTTCTTAGATTAAATAAAGTTATTGGTAGTTTTATACTAATATTATTGTTTTTAACCATTTTTTGTCGTGGTAGTATGATCCCCAGGTAAGCATAAGTAGCAGTGTTGCCGTTTTACCCACGTAAATTTAAAATTGCCCCTAGCCTTTTTTTAGCCTTTTGGAAAATTCGGCCCTATCGCGAACTTCACATGAACAAATATTCCCAAAAATTATAAAGCCAAACAAAAACAATTTTTCCTCAATTTGTTTTTGTTTTGCATGTTAAATTATGGGAAAGATTATTCACACCAAATCGGCGATAGGGCTGATTTATTCTTACTTGACATGAAAAACTTGTATATGTATGCATAAACAACAAAAGTTTAGGGCCTTTAACTTATCTATTAAGGATTTAACTATACATACTTTAAAATAGATAAGTTCACAGCCCCAAATATGCTTAATGTGTTAAAGAGCCCATGGGAGATACCATTATGCTGGCTCCTTCAAGTGTTGGTGCCAGCCGATTGACTGTGTATGTTCTTGTGGTATGATTGTACCGGCTGCTGTGCGACATCAAAAACGATTTCAAAATTTTATTATTGTACCACCATGCTGGTATCGCACCCGACGTCGTTCGGGGTAAACAAATCAAAATATAAAACAGTAATACAAATATTCAGTTCAGCATAATTTAAGGGGACCAACTGTTTTCTTTGTTTACATTGAGGCATCCTTAGGAGCCATACTTTTGGCTTCATCGTGCTATAACTAATATATACTACAAATTTTGTTCCATTATTAATATTAAATAGATTAAGGTAACGATCAAATTTCTAAATTAAAATTATTCTACTATGGACATTCCGTTTAGCTGCCTATTCGATTAGCTGTTTTATTTAGCTGCACTTTTCTAGTATAATACTTAATTCGGAAGGAGTTTTATTCATTATGAATGACCCTTTTTCGTTTAACAGCATCGCGAGATTAAAAAACAATTTAAACTTTCCATTTCAAAATAATCTAAAGACGATAAGGTTAAAAAAAAAACACACACACAGTTTTAAATACCCGAGTTATCTAATAGATAAATATATATATGTATATCCCCCTTTTACAAACTCATTTATATATACTTTACTCTGAACACCTCCCATAGATACCTATGTATGAATACCAAATTTCAAGTTCATGTGACTTATGGTTCCCAATTTATGGCTGATTAAAAATTCCACGCCTACGGGATGTGCCACGCCCCCTTTTATAAACTCATTCATATATACCTTACTATAAGCTCCTACCATAGATATGTCTGCATACCAAATTTAAATTTCATGTGACATGGTTTTGAAGTTATAACCGATAAAAATGTTCCCGCCTATGGGATTTGCCACGCCATCTTTTACAAACTTATTTATATTTATCTTTTTATAAGCACCTACCATAGCTAAACCTGCATACCAAATTTCAAGTTCGTGCGACTTATGGTTCCGAGGTAATACCTGATAAAAAATTCCACGCCTATGGGATATGCCACGCCCCCTCTCACAAACTCGTATATACCCTCCTATAAACAACTACCATTGATATGTCTGCATACCAAATTTCAAGTTCGTGGGACTTATGGTTCCGAAGTTATAGCTGATAAAGGATTCCGCGCCTATAGGATGCGCCACGCCCCCTTTTACAAACTCCTTTATATGTACCCTCTTATAAGCACCTACTATTGATATGTCTTCATACCAAATTTCAAGTTCATGGGGCTTATGGTTCCGAAGTTATAGCTGATAAAATATTCCACGCCTATGGGATGTGCCACGCCCCCTTTTACAAACTCCTTTATATGTACCCTCTTATAAGCACCTACCATTAAAATGTATGCATACCAAATTTCAAGTTCGTGTGACTTATGGTTCTTAAGTTATAGCT